TAAAAAAAAAAAAGTGTCCTCCCTGTCCCTGCTCCTACAGTGTGAGGATGGGTGTTAGTCAACCCATCATGTCTGATTTTCTTGACCTGTTCTGTAGCCATTAGCCACATGTGGCTACTGACCACTTGAACTGTGGTTATTATGACTGAGGGACTGAATTTTTAATTAATTTAAACTAAAGCAGTGCAAAATATTATTCCATTAAATACAACTTTGTCTTGGAAGGACTACATTTCACTTTAACCATTTTATTGTGTAAGATATTACTGTTCTATCATAGTGTACATCAGGCATGTGTTTTGTTTCCAGTACTACACATAAACGACTCACCAATCTAGTTGATATCATTGGATTGATTCAGTTCAAACTCAGTTTCTATGTATGAATTTAACAATGTAATGCATTCATTTATTATTTTATGCAGACAGCATAAGTTATAGCAGGGTTTCTTAACCACAGCACTATTGACATTTTGGGTTAGATAATCTGTTGTAGGGGGCTGTCCTGGGTCCTGCAGAATGTTTAGCAGCATCTCTGGTCTCTGTCTACTAAATGCTGGTAGCACCACCCCCTCCAAGCTGTGATGACCAAAACATGCCAAATGTCCTGGGCAAAATCGCTTCGGTTGAGAACCACTGAGTTACAGTGATACCTACAAAAACCAGCATTGGTAATTAAAGTAAAATACTTATTTAGTTTTTAATTATACTTAAATTATGTTTCTAGTTTTAAAAAGTAAATATGAATAGATTTGAAAGTTTAAAATGAAGGCACACTATGGATGCATTATTGAGTAGAGATGCAAATAATAGAACTACTGCAGAACAGCAAAGGAAAAAAGAGACTGGAAGGAGGTATGTTGCAAGTTTCATGAAGAATGGCAACTGCAATTTGCTTTAGCAAGGCAAAACGGAAGTTCTGTAAACAACTTTTCAAGGTAATAAATGCTATTAACAAATGCCAGCAAATATAAAGTGAATGAGAAGTTTATCCTTAATATTAGAACATTAAAAATGAATCAACTAAATAGTTTGTCTGAAATCAGAATTACATGTCCAACAAAAAAATTTTAATGATGAACAGAATATGAGCTTTTATTTTTGGCCACTAAACCATTTTTTTGATGGTAATATCATAAAAGAAATTATTATTTCAGTTATTGATAGTTTATCAAAAACTATGAGGAAAAAACTTAAAACTACCTTATGAATAGTGAAAGGTCTTCAATTAAACCACCGAACAGTTGCCTATAAAATATGACATTTCTAATGATATAAAAGATCAATTGATTCAAAATGTTTTAAATTACTTTTCTTTAGATTTTAGATGATACTGCTCACTTACTACTTTGGGTACAATCTGTCTTAAAGAACTTCCAAATATACAAAGAAATAGTGTCAATTCTCAGCCCCAAAACCTGAACTCATGGCATAAATATTTTTTAGTCTTCTACATACGTCAGTAAAGAATTTGGCTAGATTTTTAAAAAAATTCCAGAACACAGATGGTGCTCCAGTTACGTTAGGTCAAAACTCCAGATTTATTGGCATTTTAAAACAAGACTGAAGTTTCCCCCTTCTGCTTCATTTTACTGCGTGGTACATGTTAAAAATATTTGTGCATAGTTTTCTGAAGCAGACTCTGTAAGTGTCATGGATACAGTTGCTAAAATCATTTAATATATACCTGGGAAATCTATGAACACTGCAGGATTATGGAACAGTTGAGAGAACTAGAAGACAATGAATTTAATGATGCTGAGTTCTTGTCAATGCTCACTGGTTGAGCTGTGGAAAGGTTTACAAAAGGTTTACTATTAATTTCAACTCAAGATGTGATATGTGTAAATAACATATTATTAAAATTAATTTCACCTATTTGAAAATAAAGCTATATGTGGCTGACAATATACTTATATTGGACCATTGCTCTCTGGACCTTATTGCAAATGTTTCTCCTTTCACTGGTCCACTTGCTTTTTCTGTGGTCTATACTTCGACACAAAAAATGATTACAATGATGGGGCCTTGGTAAGTTAAAAACACAAAAGGTTGAAATGCTCTTCAAAATATTCAGTCTTTGGTAAATAAGTGCTGTATTTAACTGCTGCTGATACTAGCAGGAAGAATTAAAAGTAAATTGACCTTCATCTCCAAAATTTACTACCAAGAGAAAACAAACTTGTTAAACTCATTTATTCTAGTAACTTTCTGAAGAATCCATCAGGTTCTCTATTTAGACAGGTTTTCTATTTAGACAATCACGTTGTCCACAAATAAAGACAATTAATGTCTTCCTTTTCAATCTAGACACCTTACATTTCTTTTTCTTGCCTGACTGCACTGTCCAGAATCTCCATCACAAACTTGAATAAAGGTGATGAAAGCAGACACCCTCAAGTTGTTACTGACCTTCAAGGAAAAGTTGTTACTGACCTTCAAGGAAAAGCATTTAGTCTTTCACCATTGAATATGACAGCTAAATTTATCGGGTTGAGGAAGCTCTTCTATTCCTAATTTGCTGAGAACTTTTATCAGGAATAGATGTCAGATTTTGCATTTCCCAAATGACTGATAAACAAAAATCCCCAAACAAAACACAATTCCACAATGCACACATTCTCTCTGGAAGGATACCCAAGATAGGGGTGAAGAGTAGGGAATTCTTGCTCTAATAGAAAGCCCTTATTTAAAAGGTCAGACAGAAGGAAAGATATCAGTCTTGACTAAAGTCAAAGGCAACCAGACTCTAGTGGGCAAATGTCCTGTCTGGTTTGGTGCTTAAAGTGGTCTCCTCCCTCCTGGAAGTTCCTCAGTGACTTCCATGACTACACAGGAGGGAGGGAACGCTTCAGAAACTCTCCAGAAGCAAATAATGGGTGGTAAGCAGCAGTCTGTCATCTCCTGGAGCTTTTCCAAGGAGCTACAGTGGGAGCACAGCTATCTTGGTCACATTCTATCTTGGGTACAACATAATTGTACCCTGGCCTTCAGATGTCCTTCCAAAGTGTTAACTGCAATGACATTCTACCCTATGAAGTCTTGCCGTGTGGTACTATTGGGGGGGGGCGTTGTAATTAGGTCAATTTAATTCATTTATTTAACGAAGGTACTAGGGATTGAACCCAGGACCTCATGCATGTTAAGCATGTGCCCTACCACTGAGCTTCCCCACCATGTGGTACTGTTGATGCGGGTCAGGAGCTAAGGCACAGGACTGGTACACAGGAAATATAAAATAAGTAATTACTGACTAATTAAGAGTTAGCCAAGATGGAGCTGCATTTGCCAGCTAGATAAAGTGCTATGCATCTACTATGTATAGTCAGCAAATTGCATTTTAGATCTCTTTTGGGTGGAAGGGGCATAAAAATACAGGATTAAGATACGATATATTGCTGACATAAGCCTTTATCTAACAGGGTTTCATTATCAGCTATTTATCTAGTCAAAATTTTTAAATGTCATCTTATAACTTCTTTCCCTACTAAAACTTGTCATTTTTTACAGTGTTAATTACAGCTTTTTAATTACTATTTGCTAGACCCTGCAAGTATAGGTGAACATGCTAAGTCAGAGTAAGAAGACAATAAGCCACTTGACATGTCTGAGAAGGTCCCACTTCTGATTAGTTTAATCCAACCCTGAGCAATAAGAGTTCTGCTCCAACAGCAGACTTCATCTATTATATGTGTATTATTTATCACACTAGGAGGAGAAAGGACAGATTTTTATAACTAGGGATCCAAATCAATATGAAGCTTTAACAGATGGGGTCTTGGCTGGGGGCACAGCAGCCCCCTCAGGTCCAGTGCTGAAAACCATTCAGCTGCAAACACTGAAAGACCTAGAGATATTTGCTTGGCAAGTCACTCAGGGAATCAGCATCTTGCTAAATGTTATCTGCCTCGTCTGGGCCAGAACGGTGGCCACAGATCTGCTCAGGGTAGTCAGCAGTTAGCACACTAATCTGCAGCCATAGAGCTATATTGAATATTTCTGCTGCAAGTAGTATAACAATACTACCACCATATAATTTCCCCCCACTGGGCTATTTTTAGAGACACTGAATAGATATTGAATAATTTGGCATTCAGGGAGGTGCTTCAAGTTGGACATGAGAAGCAAGCACTATATACACTGTTCAGATCACAGGAGACATAGGGAAGGGGAGGAAAAAGGCACAGCAGCCCTCAGCAATGAGTTAGCATTTATGGTTCACCTATCCTTGGGTCCCTGACATTCTGCAAACCTGCCTCAAAAACCCATAGTGTGACAAAGCTTTTTGTTCCAGTTCAAATGTAGAGAGGTACAGAAGTTGTCCCTGAGGTTAGCTCTAGAACAGAAATATCCTGGGCACTATTCTGGGTCTTATAACAATTCAGTGGTGGAAAGGCCCAGAGAGAACAAATAAACAAAGCTTTAAAACAAAAACTAAATCCACAGAACTCCAAATAATTGGATTCAATCCATAAATTGGGGAAATGATCCGCATGTCTATGTCTGATGGCAATCAACAAGGTCCAAAATCTCCTTAACTGTGATTTCCTTCTTAAAATAACCCTTTCATCAGTATACAGGTTTATATAATGCTGACACCCAAGGAAAACCATTGCAACTCACCCTCCCATCTTTGCTTCCACTCAAAAACAAACCAAAACACCTCGGAACTTGGAAGGAACATGTATAAAATCCAAATCCTCCAATTCTAGCTCTTGTTACTCAAATCATTTTCAAAAAGTTGCTACATATAAAGCATGGTAATGATAGTCAAAAGTTGAATTTCTTACTATTCCCTGTGAAGATCCTTTTTTTCTCCTAATTTTTAAATTAAGGTATAATTTGAATTTAATAAAATTTACCCTTTTTAGTGTACAGTGTTTTTGAAAAATGCATTCAGTCATGTAATCAACACCATAATCAAGACACAGAACAGTTCTATCACCCAAAAAATTCCCCCATATACCCTCCTCCCAACCATAGCTCCTGGCTGATCTAAAGTCTATCCCTATAATTTTTCCTTTTCCAGATATCATACATGAAATCATACACTGTGTAGCCTTTTGAATCTAGTTTCTTTCTGCATAATGCATAATGCAATTGACTTCATCTATGTTGCTGCATGTGTCAGTAATTCACCCTTTTTATTGCTGAGTAGTATTCCATAATTTATGGGTATACCACAGTTTATTCACTGATCAGCTAAGGGTCACTTGGGTTGTTTCCAGTTTTGAGAGATATGTGGACAAACCCACTGTAAAGATTTATTCAAACCCAAGTTTTCATTTCACTTGGGTAAATTCCTAGGAATGAACTGCTGGAAGATCTACTTTTGAAACTATCTGCCCAATTCTATATAAGCTATTTCTATACAACAGATATGCATTTTCCCAATGGAATAGCTGTGTTGCTAGTTCTGTGATGCTTCTCTTCCTGGTCCATCTCTATCATTTCTCTGCCCTCCTGAGTGTAGTAAACATCTCCAAATCAGCATCACTTACAAATTTCATTAACATTCTATTTACTTTCAGTCCTAGATCATTAATAAAAAATGCTAAATATTCCTACTTTCCTCATAAGCACCCTGCAGCATCCTAGGAAACAACATTCTTCCCAAGCCACACACAGCACCATTTATCTTTACACTTGTTTTATAGGACATGTTGCATAGTAGCTTCTCCTCTATATTCTTAAATTAATTTTCAGTTGAGCCAAGAATCTTCAGTATATCACTTTTAATAACTACAGGAAAACCTAACAGAGCTTTTCTCAGTTATTAACTTATTTACAGTCAGCATACATTATGCAAATCACAGATACAAACAAGGACCAACAGAGAGAGCACACTCGGAAAATTTGAGATGTTACTCCCTAACACCAGCGTAAAAGCAAATCTGGGTTTTGTTCCTCCTAAAATAGTGTCCTGTCCTAAAAACAGTCTTTCAAATAAATGCTGTATTAATTAAACTAAAAGAGAAAAAATAATGCCAGCATAATTAACATACAAAGCAACAGTATGGCCTAATTAATCACCATGAAAAGCAATCGAATAAAATACTATGCATTTTTATGGAGCAATTTAATCTGGCAAGTAATTAATCACAGAAACACTAAGCAAAACAAATGGATTTCCCTTTAAGGAAGTCACATTTATCATCTGTAATGTATCCCAAACTCTAATTTGTTATCCCAACTCAAAATTGTCCAGTAGACAATGAATTGTCAGCTTTAGTAGAACACGGATTTCTTGAAAAAAGAACACTGAGCTTTTAAAATCAAGTTACAGTCCCTGAGCACCCAGAGAGCTAAGGGTTATGGGGCAGAGGTACATGGCAATAGGCATGGCGGTCTTAACCTCAAGAGTTCTAAATTGAGGTCAGTTTAGTCAAAACCATAGATAATTGCTAAAGGACTCATGAAAAGAAAACACTTAACATCAGGAGTGGCAATTATAGGTCACAAATATTAGCAAAACCCAAAGGAAGGACCTTCAATAGCTGACAACAGAGAGAAACAGAGCTTTTGATCTTCAGAGCAAGTGTTGAGGGCTTATCTATGCAGTAGAATTGAAGTCAAAGAAATCTCCTTTACTCCTCTCCTCTTCTTTCCTTCTCTCCTTCCTTCCTTCTTTCTTTAAACAACGACCCATCTTCCATGAGCTCCAACAGCTTCACCAGTTTGAAGAATACCAACAGGCTGGTTATTTCGAATGGCCTCAACTTTCAGAGTGACGCACATTAGCTAAGAAGATACAAGAGGCTCTCTTCATATCTCCAACTTCCCAGCTACTCTCTCTGCTTGGCTCTAGTTGAGACTAGATGAACTGCCCTCTTTTTTTGTCAAGGAAGCTCATGGTACTTCTTTTAATATTCTCATCTCTCACTGACTTTTTTTTCTCTAGGTATTAGTCTTAAAAGGCTATGCCTCTCTTTTTTTTAAAACCAAACTCCTGTAGATAAAAGCACCTGACAGAGACCGAGGCACCTGCTGGCTACAACCAAAGTGGTTTTCTCTTTACTGTCCTTATCGACCTCTAACGCTGAGTCCTCATTGAAACATTCAATACTTATTCAATTGTACCCAGAAAGTCATACTTTTCATACTTCCACCCTGACTATGCTCACTATTTGAAAAACCTATTTGGCCCAGGGCATTTACCTCTAGATTTTAACCCTTACTCTCATCTCCTTCAAACCTTTTTTGCTCTGTTATTTCTGGCTGGTATCAATGACTTGTATCTGAACTCTTCCAGTCAGCCTGGCTCTCAAGTCCTTTTCTGTTTTGGAGACTTTGCCTGGCAACTTCTGTTCAGTAATACTCTGAGATGCTCTCTCTGAATTGCCCTTATGGACTCCCTCTATCAGCCCAATAGTAACTGAAGTACTATTACTCCCAGTCCATTCCAGACCAGGCCCAGCCAGTACCCTGAATCCTAGCTTGTCTAAGAGAGCAGAACTCTATGTGTTCAACAAATATTCATTGAATGTCACTTAGCACCATGTTACTAAGATGAGTAAGGCACAGATGAGGCCTGCCTTTATGAGTTCACAGTCTAGTAAAGAAGAGAGACAAGTAGATAGTTACTACTGTAGAATGGCCAGGACTGGCTCCAAGGATAAAGTGATGCTGAAGATGCACTATTTTAGGAGGCAGGCTGAGAAATGGACAACTGGACAACTGGGAAGGACATCCAAGGCAAGGAGGAATGATATATATATGGGGTCAGGAATATAAAACAGTTTGTCCAGGAACTATAAGAGCCTCTTGTTTGTCCAGAGAACTCTAAGTAGCCTGGCATAGTTGCAATGAGGACAGATATTTCAGGAAGCATATTAAGAATGGAACCGTATGCCATGCTACAGAACTTAAATTTTATTCTGCAGGTGTTGAGCGAGCCAGTGAAGGGAATAAGCACAGGGAGGAGAGCAAGAGAGAAAGAGGCAATGAAGATGACAAGCAAGACTAGAGCTTAGAGAATCCAACTGAAAAAGAAATGCAGAGAATGAATTAATTATGGTATATTTATACAATAATAAAATACTGCTCAGCAATAAAAAGGAATAAACTATCAGACATTTGCACACCCCTATTCATAGCAGCATTATTCATAATAGCCAAAAAGTGGAAACAACCCAAGTGTCCATCAACAAATGAATAAATAAAATACAGTTTATATATATAATGGAATGTTATTCAGCTCAGCCTTAAAAAGGAAGGGGATTCTGTCACATGCTCCAACATGAATGAACCTTGAGGACACTATGCTAAGTGAAAAAAGCCAGTCACAAAAATATGATTTCCCTTATATAAGATATCTAAAGTAGTCAAATTCATAGAAACAGAAAGTAGAACAGTGGTTGCCACGGGCTGGGGAGAGGGTGGAAACTGGGGGAAGCTGTTGTTTAACAAGAATAGAGTTTCAGCTCTGCAAGATGAAGAGGTTCTGGGTATCTGTTGTACAACAATATGAATACACTTTAACACTACTGAACTCCACACCTAAAAATGGTTAAAACGGTAAATTGTGTATGTTTCTCACCACAGTTTTTTAAATGTCTGCATTATTTTTTTAAAGGAATGAACTAATATATACTACAAAGTGGATAAATCTCAAAAACGTTACATTGAGTGCAAGAAACCAAACACAAAAGAGGATGTACTACATGATTTGTTTATCTTAAGTTCAAGTTATCTTAAGTTCTAACTTGTGGTGAAAGGAGTCAGAAAACTGCCTAGTTCTGGGGAAAAGGAGGGTCATGAGGGAAATGGGCTGATGGAAATGCTCTATGTCTTGATCTGGATGGTGACTAAATGGGTATATACACACATAAAAAAGTTGTTCAATTACACATCTAAGATCTCACACATTTTACCTCAATTAAAAGGAAACAAAGATAGGGTTTCAGTGTGTCGGTAATTCTATTTCTTAAGGTGAATGGTTCACAGAAGTTCATTTTAAGATCAAGCTTTATTACAAATAAACACTAATCCTGTACTCTTTACAATTTATCAAATAGTTCATAAATTTGAAGTAGGAAATTGGTTCAGATTAAATGGGCAAAGGGAACAGATTTTAATCCATCTCTACCTGAACACCATCTAGTAAATTATCCCATAAGAAAGATGAGGTAACAGTCAAAACCCTGGTCAGGAATCAGCCCCTTATACTCAGAACGAGCTCGCACTACAGATGGCTACTCCTGCTGCCTTTTCGGAGTTGTCACCAAGATGAGCGCAGACGAGGAGAGTCCAATGAGAACCAACTGTCTCTAGAGCTTCCTTGAGATTGAGAATTTTCGTTATATGAAAATAGTGTCAAATGAGACAGAAATTAATGTTCTTTGGTGCACAGGGTAGTAAAAATGCACTGGTGCACCCTATGTTTGACATCCCACTCACATGTTATTGGTTTTAAAAGAAATTATATAGAAACCAATTAGAACCAAAAAAACTCATGAAACCTCTTAGAATAGGAGCTCACTTTGCTAGAGCATGCACAGTATCTAGGCTCCAGGGGAAAATGTATAATCGAGGTAAAATTAATCAAAGCCTACATAAAAGAAACAGCAAGAGACAGTTTAAGAAGAAAATCTCTCCTCAATGTTAGAAATTCCTAAAGTCTGATCACTGAGTACATAATTCTGCTTATTATTGTCTTCTACTATGTAACACTATATTTATAATTAGGTTGATACCACAGTAAAATGACAGTAAAATTCAGACACAATTCATTTAACAATTAATCTACTGGAGCTAAAAATTCTTACCATGTCATTAATTGCCTGCTTAAAACACTGCCTCAGTTTCAGTTTTAGATTATCACACACCTTCTTTAAGAACCCAGGGGGAAAGCAATGCACAGGCAAAGCTAGTTTAGGGAAAAATAGCAGGCAGCAGTGAGTTTCATACTTTTCTCTCCCTATGGACCCCAACTCAGAAGAGCCTTTACTGTGACCACCAAGCTTACTACTAATTAAAAGAGAAAACAGTAAAGAACATTTTCTTTCACAGTAAAGCTCTCCAACCCACCCTCACTCCAAGCTGCCTTTTAATCTCTTTTATCTGCATGTTCTAATTTCTCAATATAAGAAGTAATGCTTGCTACAATCTTTTTCTTTCCTTCCTTCCTTCCTTTCTTCCTTCCTTCTCTTTTCTTTTTTAAACATGTCAATTGGTAAAGCATTCTGCTGGGGTTTTGGGGAAGTAGGAGGATACAGGATCAGATCTTCCTTCTGCACTATTCTATGAAGGTTGTCATCCCTGATTTTTCTACAAAAGGATTTTATTTTTCTAGTCTGGCCCTGGCTGATGATTTCCCACCCACAGTTTTTTCTTCACAAATTTATTCTTTACAAAGAGCTTTGCAGTTGACTCTTAAGAAAAAAATTCAGTCTTCAAGGCCATTTTATATAATAGCTGCAAGACAAAACCCAGAAAGGGGAGAGATTATTCCCAAATCATCCATAAAATCAGTAGCAGAGTTGGGATTAGATCAAAGCATCTGGACAAAAATTTAGAAGGCATAATCTAAATTTCTAGTAGAAGAAATTCTAATAGACTAGAAATAGAAGAATAAATTCTTCTATTAGAAGCATATTTATCAAATGTGCTAATGATTCAAAGCTGCAAAGAAAAACCAATACATAGAATGATTGCAGTCAACAAGATACATTTAAAAACAATAAAGAGTTTCATTTAGGTTAGTTTAAAGTCAAAAACCAACTGGAGATGTTCAGGAGATTCACCAGAACAGTAATAGTACCTATCTCTGAATGTGATGTTTTTAGATGATTTTACTTTACTTTGTCCTTTTCACTTTTCTGTATTGTTTAAAAAGCTTCTAGAATGCGCAAATAGCATCAAACAAACCAGCACCAGAAAGCAAAATAGCACTACCAACTGAACAATTATAGGATGGGGGAGAGTTAGCTTGATAGCAGGTCACTTTAAGCAGATGTGAAAGTTTTAGTGGGACTTAAGCTTGTATGAACCAACAATGAAATTCAGCTGCTGAAAAATTAATGCAACTAGAGGCTACAAATGAAATAGGTCCATATCCTGAGTGATAATAGTCTCCCTACAATCTGAGATACTCAGATCACATCTGGATCCAGTTCTAGGCGTCAATCAATCCAAATAACACTTACTGAATGCTTATTTGGTACAAGGCACACTCTACCATCATAATTCAGGAGGCAAACTGAGAAGTTAGAATAAACCTAAAGGACAATCACAATATGCCAGAGATTTTGAAGCCATGTCATATGAAGAACAATTGAGAGAAGAAAAGACGTTTTGCCTACAGAGGGCAGTAGTATACATGTTAGCCCTTTGAAGAAGTCAACACAGAAGACAGTAAATTTTTTGGTGTTGCATCTGAAGGTAGAAATAGAATCAATACATTCAGGTTATAAAAAGGAAGAGTCTGACATTAGCACGAGAGTCTCATCATTTAAAAAGCTGGACACTATAAAGCTTAAAGTATTAAGTACTATTTCACTAAGTCTTCAAGCAGAGGCTGGATATTAACCCCAACAAAAAAGATTTATGACTTGGGAAGGTGACTGGGGTAGATGGACTCTTAAATTCTTTCAGCCTTTAAGGTTCTGTGACCCAGCACTGTTAATCTGCAAGATCAAAGTCAAATAGAAAAAAGGAAGTATGGGACCTTAGCCATTCTAGTATAATCTGAGAACTTACAATGATTACGCTCCTATGGCCAAGAACACGTCTCTGTTTGTTCACAATAATTTAAAGAAACCTAAAGTTTCATCTGCTGAAGAGATGCCTGTTTTGGTTTGCTGACAGGATAATATATTGCTACCCAATAGTATGGCTTCTTCATCCTATCAACAGATTAACAGTCAACTGTTCAATGTGGTTAGAATACCTGAGATATAAGGACAGAGTTCCACCCTGACTGTTGGAAAAGATAAATGGTGAGGGAAAAGTAGGGGATAAAATGAAGAACTGCCCACATTTAAAAGACTACTTTTTAAAGTATCTTAGATATGGGGTGAAAAAGGGAAAGGAATTAGGGAGCTAAACTATGCCTATTGATCCCACTTGTGGCTAGGCTTTATATAAGTTACAATTAGAAACCAGCATTCTATGAACTAAACCATGATTAAATGTCTACATTACCTAGCAAGAGTTCCTTTTGGGGAAAAAACAAAACAAAACAAAAAAACCTTTCCTCAGGTGAAAACAAAATGTTTCTTCTTTTCTTAGGATCAATAATAATTAGGGAGCAGCAAATTCCTAAGGGACCAGGGACAGTTGTGCCAGCAAAAGCAGGCCATCTCCAGAGAGCCAGAGGATGGAGACAGCTGGCTGGGCAAAGGCAAAAGCCCAGGAAGGACAGGCTCTGGACTGCTGTAGACTTTAGCCCTGCTTCCCACTCCTATGACCCCATTTCATAATAAGTCAACTGGAAATACCTTTCTTCCTGACCTGCTAAGACAGAGCTACAATTCTACATCACCTTGACTGCCCCTCTGGTTCTCAACTCCCAGTATTTAGAAAGTTGTAAAACTAAGGAAGCAGTGACAGAAAGAGAAGAATAAAGAAATGCTCCTAAAACCACAGGCTTCTAAAGAAAGAGGCCCAAATCTATCTCCCACAAACACACCACACTTCCTCTCATTCACTCTCTTTCTCTTCACAGGTTTCAGATGCTTATCTAAAGAAACTTTAAATAGCATATGGTAGGTCCTGCTGGTTAAAAGATTAGCTAAAAAAAAATTAGCAGAATATGAAGGTCATATATCAGATGGCTCATTTCAGATACTCATTAAAAAAAGTTAATGCTAGGTTTAATGCTGAAGTTAACTTACCACACCGTAAAATTATAGGTAGGAGATCCCATTAAATACCAATGGGACAAGTACAAACCAAAGGCTTTTGCTATATAAATATATATTTACAGAAATAAAGAATGTTATGAGACTGCAGACCTAAAGAGAGAGGAAAGAATTTGCTCTCCTCCCACATGGGGGCCATTCATTCACACATCTGGGACCAAGGGCTGGAATATTCTGGTACAAACTGCCAATCAGACATTTTTCTTCCGGTGCTCTCAGCAATTTCATCTGCTACTGTCTGCTCAGAACAAAAGCCTTCCAACTTACCTCAAGACCCTGTACTCTTAATTATCTTAGTCACCAGGAAGCAGCTACTTCATTATCACTGGCTCAGTCACAAAGGCAGTCCCTGTAAGCCACCTCCAAAAGGCTCAAGTAAGTAATTGGCACAATTCATTACAAGAGAAAAAATGTCAATGTAATTAACAAGCAAAAAGATTAAGTGTTTGCCAAAACAACATTCAAAATAAGGTCACTAGATACATATAAGATCTTTCCCAACTAACTCACAATTACAAGGTTCCTTAAGTTGGCTGCTCACATTTCTATGAAATACTAGCCTTTACAAAGGGTAAGGGCCCCATATCTAGGAGACCTCAAATGATACTCTCAGATCATGCACCTAGAACCCCCCAAGGAGATCCTTCTATTTCACATTCCAGTAGCTTGATTCAGGATAGAGGGCTGAGCTCAAAGTTGACTCCTTTTCTCCTAGGAGTCATACTCCACAGACAGTCCCTTATCTGAGTCAATAAAAACAGGCCACAATCAGAAGCCACTACCTTGCTGCAAGAAAATGAGATACACACAAAAGATAGGGGGCAGGACAAGAGTATCTTTCACAAACCAATACTAACTCCAGACATAAAAGAACACACCTAACAACTCTTTTATGCACTCTACATCAAAGTACTGTGTACCTTCTCTAAAAAATTATATACCCCCAAAACAACTGTTCCCTAATTAGTCCTATGATTTTTGTACCTGTACTCTTTGTTATAAAGCGCAACATGTAGGCATCAAGAGCCAATGAGTTCTGATTGCTCATATTTTGAGTAAAGAAAAAGAAACAGCTATGGGCTATTAGCTCACCAAAGAATAAAGGCAGGATCTAGAATGCTGTATTTAACATTTACATGTGAGAAGGGGGTGGAGGGTGGGAAGGGATAGACTGGGATTTCAAAATTGTAGAATAGATAAACAAGATTACACTGTATAGCACAGGGAAATATACACAAAATGTTATGATAACTCAGAAAAAAAATGTGACAATGAGTGTGTATATGTCCACGAATGACTGAAAATTGTGCTGAACACTGGAATTTGACACAACATTGTAAAATGATTATAAATCAATAAAAAATGTTTAAAAAATTTACATGTGAGAAAATCTCTCACAAAGGAAATATATGTATCTAAACTCTAAATACAGAATTTTCTTCCACTATCATCTAGTCCTAGTTCCAGACACAAAAAAGTGGAGAAAACTGGGGTCCTGTTTTTAATGTATCCTCATTTTCTCAGGAAATATGTGAAATTCTCCCTTTTAGTGCGTTTTTGGCAAACACAGTTTACTGAAGTGAATGCTGCATATATGTGTTATTTAGAGCTACATAAGAGTAATGTTTCTATATCTCACTGAGATTAAGTTATTATAAATTTGAACAGCTTCTAATTCTAATAAGTTACGATGTATATGGTAAGCCTTAGAGCAACCATTAAAGAAATAGTGAAAAAAAATTATTAAATAAATCAAAGTGCTACATGGGAAAATCTTCACTGCATGAAAAAGAAAGCAGTAAAGAAGGTACAGAGGAACAAAAAAGACCAGAGGCACACAAAAAACTAGAAGTGAAATGGCAGACATAAGTCCAATTATATTAATAATAACATTAAATATGAATGGAATAAACAATCCAATCAAAAGGCAGTGATTATCAGACTGGATAAAGTATATAATATCCAATGATATGCCACCTACCAGAGACACATTTTAGACTCAAAGATACAAACAGATTGAAAGTAAAACAATGAAAAAAAAAAGATTGCCAAGAAAGAAATGAAGGCAGAGACAATTCAA